ATTCTAACAAGTCTGAAGTTAAATACCATTGCCATGAAGAATAATGACAATTTTTAATGGTCATTTACAAATTTGCAAATCATTCTGTATAGTCTTTTTTGAAAATAAAACATTTATTTAAAAAAAAAAAATCTGTTCTCATATCACTTGTTACTCCAATATATTTGACCATGTTAAGGAGAAGTTACCTGTGCTTACACTGTATTTCCTTTTTCTCGACATTTGTAAAGGCTGATTACATGTATGGGACAATGTTACACAAATTCACCCCAAATTCCTTCACACTTCTAGAGTGTATTTCATTTAAAATCAATGGTTTATTTACTTTCTTGAGTACCTTTTACTGTTTAATCTATGGCTCAAACTGTTATGTGCTTTACCACTAGCCAAAAGGTTGGCAGTTTAAACCCATCCAGACTTGCCTCTGAACACAAGTCTAGTGATCTGTTTCCAAAAAATACAGCCTGAAAACCATATGGAATAGTTCTTCTCTCCGCACATGGGACACTGAGTCAAAGATGACTCAACAGCAACTAAAAACTACAATCTCGTAATACAGATTTGTCGGCTCACAAAATTTTGGCCATCTTTCCAAAGTTATTTTTGATTATTTTACTAATATGTTTTTCAACACTCATATTTTCCCATATTTTTGTGTGTTCAGATAATATCTGCACATGTAAAAGTTATATATTCTTTATTGTAGGGTTAAAATTGGATTAGGCCATCATTTACCCTATTTTGCAACATGATGAAATTGAGCCACAAAGAGTTTAAGAAGCATGTTCACATAACAATGATGATGATGATGATGATGATGTTTATCACTTGGTATGTGCCAAGCACTGTTTTAAGGGCTTTAGTTGTAATAAGTTCTTTAGTTTTTACAATGGTTGTTGTTGTGTGCCATCAAGTCGGACCCAACTCATAGCTACCCCTCCTTGGGTTGCCAAGGCAGTATAACTACGGAAGTAGATTGCCCAACCTTCCTTCTGAGGAGTGGCTGTTTAGTTTGAACCGCCAGCCTTCTGGTTAGCAGTCAAGTGCCTTAGGCACTATGAAATAGTACTATCATTACCCCCAGGAGCTCTGGTAGCATAGTGCCTAAGGCACTTGACTGTTACCCAGAAGGCTCGCGGTTCAAACCCAATAGCCACTCCTCAGAAGGAAGGTTGGGCAATCTACTTCCATAGTGATACTGCCTCGGAATCCCAAGGAGGGGTCACTATGAGTTGAAATTGACTCCGGGCAGTGAGTTTCTGTAAGCTAAAGCCACAAAACTGTCTCAATACACTCCCTTTGCAGGTCCCACTTAGGTGTTTAATACTTTATTTTAAAATGTAGAGGGGGTTGTCACCAATCTTTAATGATTTCTGCTGGAAGGGAGATTGAAGCATATTCAATTTAACTTATATTAAACATACATAATTTTGAAGAATATATAATATTTCTGTCAGCATAGTATGACTGACCCACCTACATTATCCCATATAGGAGAGAAGGCATATTAATTTATACCCTACTGTCATGCAAAATAGGAGCTCTGGTAATGTAGTGCCTAAGGCACTTGACTGCTAACCAGAAGGCTGGCAGTTCAAACCCACCAGCCACTCCTCAGAAGGAAGGTTGGGCAATCTACTTCTATAGTGATACTGCCTCAGAAATCCAAGTAGGGGTTGCTATGAGTTGGGTCCAACGGCACATAACAACAACAGCAACAACATCAGTACCCCCATTTTATAAGCTGAAGAGTGTCAGGCAAAAAAAGTGTATCGAAAATTAAAACAACTAATTAGTGATGATCTACCACACTTAGCCTGTGTCAGATGCTGTGCTAAGAATGTTATTTGTTTAACAAATCTAAATAATGTTCTTAATAAAATTATCAAATCCAATCCAATCCAGTATCTACTTTATTGCAATACCCAGCTTTTAGATCAGGAAGCCAAAGCATCCAGATGTCCAGTAACTTGGTTGTAGTCACATAGCTAGTTAAGTGATCAATCTAGAATTGAGGCTTGGAACTCAGATGAGAACTTGGTCACCGCACCAGAGGTCATGCTTTACCACTGTTTTCTATTGCCTCGAAGTCAAATGGCAAGTGAGTTTTCTGTAGAATTATGAATGTTGCAGATTAGAAGAAACATCAAAAGGGACCATCTCTTTTAAAATCTATTTTACATCTATCGCAAAATCCCCTCCAAAATATCCTCAGCAAGGTTTTGTCTAGCCTCTGCTTGCAATTTTTCACTATAGAGAATATACTCACCCTAGGAGCAACTCGTGTTATTTTGAGGTAACAATTTTAGAATGTAACTCCCTCTATTGTGATGAAATTTGGATTATTACAGATAACAATTCAATCATGTAATCTGAAAATCATGAGAAATAATTTTAATTCCTCTTCCACATGATAGCCCTTTAAATAGATGAAACAAAACTTTTAAGTAATCTTCACTAGTTTTTCCTTTCTTGAACAATCCCATATGTAACCTGATTCTTAAGTTTCTTCACCATACTAGTCTTTCCTCTTTGATACAATAACTTGAAAAATGTTTCTCTTAAAATACTAAACAAGACACATAGTACTTTAAGTATGTTCTCAATACTGTAGAGTGGAGTAAGCTAAAACTTCATTTCATCCATGAGAATAATACAGTGTAATGTTTAAAAGGGTAGAATTTGAAATCAGCTGTCCAGTTTGAGTTCTGTTCTCAACATTTAGAACCAACCACTTTGCTTTCAGGAAGTTCCTTCAACTCTCTATGCCTCACTTTCCACATTGATAAACAGAGTTTTTAAGAAAGTAAGTATGATAATAGTGTTAAATATTTAGAAATCTACCTGGCATGCAGTATGAGCTCAGAAACTCTGGATAATATGATTTAAAAATTTAGGCACTTATTGAAGGTGTTCTATGTTACGACATTGACATTGCAAAGAGAGAAATATCATAGTCTGGATGGCCAGGATACCTCCACTTAAACTTCTAGATCTCATACCACTTTTCTGAAGCAACGATGATTGCATTATATTTTGAAAAATCATAAATCATGCCACATTGTGGCCTCATAATTAGATAATAGTAAGAAAAAGTCCTTGAGCCTTTTTCATAGTTGCTTCTGTGAAATCCATCTCTTCCATCCTGTTCTAGGTCTCTAGTAGCATCCTGTCAAGATCTCGCAGGATCCTAATTGTGTCCTCCAATGTTTTGGTTTTCCATCCAAGCTCTATGTCATATGTACATATGAGAAGCATTCCATCAATGCTGTCAACCAAGTCATTGATGAAATGTGAAGTAGAACAGAACCAAGGGCAGAGCCTGCAGCAATCTATTAGAGAAGCCTCTTTTGGGGACAGTCATTTAAACAGCTAAAAATCCCCCTAACCCCCCAGAAAAAAAAAAAAAAAGAAAAAAATTCTTAATCTTGTTATTAAGCACACTGTAGGAGATTTTTTTCAGAAGATTTATTTAAATCCAAATGCATTATGTCTATTATCAATTTATATAGCATCACTTTCTTAGTAAAACCAATTCTATTTAAAAAAGAAATTTAGTTGAGTGTAATTTGTTCCTAGGGAAACTGTACTGATTTCTAGTGATTATTATCTTCTTGTAAGAACTCACAAGAAATATTTAAAAAAATTACTTATACAACCTAATTAGGAATTAAAAGCAAATGTGCTTTTTTAGCTTAAGAAATATTTCTGCCTCATTTTGAAAGCTGAAACTTCATTTATTCTGTTGCCAGCTTTGTCTCCACCATTAACTGCCAAGACAGGTAATGATGGCTTAGAAATTTCATTTACAAATTCTCTCAGAGTTTTGGGATCTAATCTTTCAGGGCCTCAACATTTGTATAATTTAGCATTATCCTTTATAATCACCTGATTTAATTCGTTTCAATTACTATTCCCTGATGCTTTTCTAGCCCTCTCCAATCTGAAAACCACTCCCGACAGAGAAGATGGAAACAAAATCTGTTATTACATCACAGACCACAAACTGATACTTCTTTTATATTTTTGCTCAAAAAATATGGCTTTAATGATTATTTCATTATCCCTTGCATTTATCTCTGTTCTTTAGGACATTAGCCTTTAAAACCACTCTCTGAGTTCCATGCAATTTGTATGTTTGTTTACCCAAAGATAAGTCCTTTCTTCTATACATTCAACAATTCCTTCCACACATATATATTGAATTCCTCTTATTTGTCAGTTACTGTGAGGAGCTCTGGTAGCATAGTGTCTAAGGCACTTGACTACTAACCAGAAGGCTGGCGGTTCAAACCCACCAGCCATTCCTCAGAAGGAAGATGGGGCAATCTTCTTCCATAGTGATACTGCCTCAGAAATCCAAGGACGGGTCGCTATGAGTTGGGTCCGACTCCACGGCACATAACAACAACAATTGTTCCAGGCACTGGAGATGCGTGGTGAACAAAATGGACACACTCCTTGCCTTCCTAGAGTTTATTGCATTTAGCTTTCCATATTTTTTTTCATCTGATGATAGTTTGCTTGTATATAGTGAGCTTTTAATTTTTGAGCATCATCTAGTCCACTTGAGATGTCTTTTCACTTAGAGTTTCAAGATCTTAGAACAATTATCAATTTCCCCATGAAATTTCTTGAAATCAACCTTTTGAACACCCACATCAATGTCTAAATTTTCTCCCAGACTTTCTCTCTCATAATGTTTCCATGACTTTTAAAACTAAAGACAGCAAAATGAGACCAAGAGGTCTTGCTATAATTCAGGCAGAATTTTCCATAAGGAAACGTGGAGATTGGGTTGTAAGTTTCAACTTTTTTTTTTTTTTTTTTAACTTCATTCCATTATGATTTTGCATGGATTTTTCATGGGTTTCTTACATAGCCCAAATATTTTGGCAACTTGTAAGAGAGGATAATCTAAACACACATTGAGAAGATTTATCTTTTCTACAAAGAATTATAATTTTTATTAGTAATTTAAGATTTTATCTGCTTTCTAGGAATAGCCCTGTACTAGTCTATGCCATCCTTGCTATATGGACCTGGAGCATGTTGCAGTTTCCACTTGACCTTGCAGGTAAGTGTTTTGATGTTTGCTCAAAGAAAGAGAAAATTCTTGATGATCAGCTGGACTAAAGCTAAGGAGATAATTAAGAGGATTACTGTGTCATTATTCCAGTGTCAGTTCCAGTTCAGTTTGGAAGAAAAGTAGATTGAAGCTTAGGAAATCTATTAGTGGATTCACTGTGGTACATGGTGAGCCTAAGGTAGTACAGTGCATCAGAGTATAGCTTTGCACCCAATTCCAACACAAGTTCCATCACTTATGATTTAAAATTATTTAATGTATCTACTCCTCAGTTCTATTTATCTATAGAATGGGGATGGTAATAATAGTAGTTAGAGTTAGGGTTCTTGTGATGACTAAATAAGATGCCGTTGATAAAATACGTAGCATAATTGTCAGCACGTAAGTGTTAGCTCTTCATATTTTTAAGGGGTGATGTTTCATTCTTTTGTCAGACCACATGGGAAATTAAAATTCATGTCAGCTGGTCCTGGGAATCATAACATAACTTGGTGACATAACCCACCAAGATTTTGTAAGAAATAACATGTTTTTGAGGCCTTGCATACTAGTGATGGCCTAGAGCTAGTACCATAGACACCAGCCACATGTGGTTCTTCAAATTTAAATTAATAAAAATAGAATAAAATTAAAAGTTCATTTTCTCAGGCACACGAACTAGCCACATTCAAGTTCTCAATTGCCACCTATGGCTACTATATTGGACAGCACAGAAATAGAATATTTTTATCAACACAGAAAATTCTACTGCACAGCACTGGTCTGGAGTCATCCAATAACTTGTAGGGCCTCTATAATTTGATTTGGAATTCTCCTGGATGCCACCTTACTCTGAAAAATTCTAGGATTTAATAATTACATTTTCTTCAACTCTACTCTTATGGCTTCAGGATTAGAACTAACCTTTAGGATACTAAAAAAAAAAAAAAAAAAAGAACAAACCCACTGCCATTAAGTTGATTCCAACTCATAGCAACTTCATTGGGTTTCCAAGATTGTAAATCTTTATGGAAGCAGACAGCCTCATCTTTCTTCCACAGAGAAGCTGGTGGATTCAAACAACCAACCTTCTGGTTAGCAGCCAGATTCCTTAACCATTACACCACCAGAGCTCCTGAATCTTTAGGATAGAGTTATTTAATTTTTTTCTGAAACTTTTTGGTTCACTTTGATATGCCCAGAGGTCTCAGAAGCCACTTCTGATCCTAGTGTCCACTTTTTACAAACAAAATTTTCACCAGAGTGGATGAAAGACTCACTGTTTATTGTTTTCATTTTGTTTGTTTTGAATACCAGAAACCTAATTACCAATTAATAATGACCAACGAGTGTAGGCAAATAACACACACAAGCACACAAAGCTATTTATACACACACACAAAGATTTTTGTCTTACAGCTCGACTGAGAAATATTAGGTGCTATCACTTTTGATGTCTAGTAATAATACCCTCAAGGGGTCCTCTGGGAGCCATTTTTTGACCCTAACTTCTTAGAAAAAGCTATTATTGGTCTTATATTGGTTTTTGTTTGGCATTCACTCTGCTAATCCTCTCCCTCTTCCCTATTTTGTGGTTTATAGCCTTGCTAAGAAAATTTTTATTTAAGAAAGAAATTTTGTAAACTTTCAGGGGTGATAATGTTATGCAGCTGTTTGAAAAACAAAGACCAAATGTTACTTCTGACTAAATCACTATTGTATTTTCCAACAAACAGTACATTATGTTTACCCATATCAAAGCAGCTTAAAAATATTTGCAGGCTCCAATAGACTAAGGCTTTCTTTGAAAACTCCAAATGGACGTCTTCATTATTATAAAAGGATTATTTCCCACCTTTGACCCTGAATTAAGTTTACATTTTAGAAATTAAAACAAAAATGTTCATCTGTTGATTGAACCTCCTTTTGTTCAACTAGAAAGTCAGTAATTATATCCAGTCTTTTTCTGTTTTGTTTTGTTATTGTTTAACAAATTGCAAAACAAAACCATAAGGAATTAGAACAAAATAAAATAACAATAGAATTTATTTGGACTTCTCTTCCCCACCATTAGTAAAATATGCTTAACGTGAACAAAGTTTGAATTTGAATATAAGTGCTTAAGTTTTTCCACTTTATACAATTTAGACACATGGTCGAATGAATGAATGAATAAGCAAATTCTAAAGACAGGATCCAGAGGGACTGAGCCACATAGACTCTGTTCCATCTCCCAGACCTCTAAGGTAAATCACTCATTATCACAAGGGAAAGACTGGGTGAGAAAGTAGAACCCAAGAGTGTTACTCTAATTCAAATTCAGCCTTGTATTCCAGTCATGCACCGCATAACGTCCATTTGGGCAACATTTGACCACATATATGGCCATGGTCCCCAAAGTTTTCAAAGAGTTCAGAAATCCTGATTGGAGAATGGAATACAGTGAATGAAAACTTCCTGTACACAACACATGTATCTTATGTCTCATATATACAAAGCAATTGTACTGCCAGGTACATAATGGTACAGTATATACATGTATATACATGGTATGTATATAGTAGGTATATACAACTTATAATACCTATATCCTGATAGTCATAATAAATGCCTATGTTACTGGCTTATGTAGTACTGTGTTGTACTTTCTACCTAAAAAATTTACCAAATAACAGTGTATGCTTCCACGTAAGCAGTAGCATCCATCTCTTGTAACCAGAGTCTCTTGAGTGTTCTAGTCTTATCTCTCAGTTTAATTTTCATTTGAAAATGTTGCTGTGATGTGAATAATGGCTCCCCAAAGCAGCAAAATCAGTGCTAGTGATACCAGCAGTCAGAGGTAAAGGAGAAGCGTCAATTTGAAAATGAAACAAAAGGTTACTAAACAACAGGAAGGTGGAAAATCAGTGAATCCTATTACTTGCAATGTAAGTATGTCTCACTTAACAATCTAGAGATCCTCAGAAACAAAGAAAAAATTCTCCAAGCTATTGAAGGATCAGCTCCACTGAAAGCTACAAGGCTAATGAAAATGTAAGAGGGACCTAGATCACATATGTAGAAGTTTCAGTGATGTGGAGTGAGGATCAAACACAAAAGAGAATCTCTATCAGCAAGTCGATGATCACTGCTAAGGCACAAAGTGTGTTTGCGATGCTTGAAGAAAAAAGACCAGACCACAATATGGTGTTCACACAACATCCAAATCACATAATGTCATTTCACAGAAAGTATCATGGACATGAAGTGACGTGTGACTGTAATTCTCAAAAACTGACATAACAATAACTTACTACAAACTAAGTAACTTAGGACACTAGAAATTTATTCTCTCCCCATTCTGGAGGCTAGAAATATGAAATCAAGGTACCAGTCAGGCCACACTCCTTCTGAAGGCTCTAGGGAAGAGCTCTTCCTCTCCTCCTCCCACCTTCTGGGTGCTGCCAGCAATCCTTGGCATTCCTTGGCTTGTGGATGCATCACTCTGATTTCTGCCTCTGTCTTCACATGGCCTTCTTCCTTCTATGTGTATTTGTGCTTCTGTGTGTCCTCTACTTATAAGTACACCAGTGATATACTTACATACTTATGGCCCATGTTAAGTAATTATTAAGCAAAGACCCTATTTCCAAATAAGGTCACATTCTGAGGTTTTGAACAGACTTTTTTTTTTTTTTTTTTTTTTTTTGAGAGGGGCACTATTCCATCCTGTATAATCCCCATGGAAAGAAAATGAGTCAATGAACAAATGCTCTTCTCCTCACAGATACTATCATTATCCAAGTTTTCAAATTTGGAAACTGAGGCCCATCAAGGTTGAATAATTTGGCCAGCATCTCACTGATAGAAAATGGAGGGGCCAGGAGAGGCAGCCAAGTCCCTGGAGTCAGGCCTTAACTGCCTCCCTTCACTGCAGACTGAAGGACAGATATGGCAGTTTCATTTATTCTTTATTCTTTTTTGTCTATTTAATTGTGTTTTATGTTAGAACCAGGGAGTGCTCTGAAATTTAAAACTGGGTAGAAACTGCAGGCTCAGTCACTCACTCCCTCAGGGTGCTTAGTTGTGGCTAAGAAGTTATCCTACCTTTGTCCCCTATTAGCTCTATAATACATATGGACATTTTTACAGTACACACAAATACAAAACCATTGTTCTACATCCTACTTTGGTGAGTAGTGACAGAGGTTTTAAGTTTAAGAGTGGCCATCTAAGACATGCAATTGGTCTCTCCTTATCCAGAGCAAAGAAGAGTGAAGGAAAGCAGACACATGTAAACAGTTAGTCCAAAGGACTACTGGACCATGAGAACCTCAGCCTATATGACCCTGAGACCAGAAGAACTATATAGTGCCTGACTACCAATGCCAACCACCTGGAAAGGGATCAAAATCAGAGATTCTGGATAGAGTGGGAGAAAAAATGAGGAACAAAATTAATACGTAAAAAATACCAGAATTACTACTCATAGGATAAAGACTGGGGAAACCTCCAAGACTATGGCCCCTAGTCACCCTTCGGGTCTGGAATTGGACTCATTCTACTAGCTTAACTTTCAGACAAACAACACTCAGGCCTATGAGCTGGACAATTACACCAGGAAGATACATTCAGAACAATCAACCATGAGAGACCATGACGGGCAGCATTTGCACAGGGAGAAAGCTAGAGAGGCAGGAATAGATAGGTAAGAGGATAACAGGGAAAAGGTAACCAGAGGGAGGAAGTGGAAAGAGAGCTGTTACATTGTGGGAATTATAATCAGTGTCATAAAGCAAAATGTGTATAAACTGTTGAAAGTAAATGAATCTGCTTTGTAGAATTTCACCCAAATCACCATAAAAAGTTTATAAAAGAAAAAATGACCAAACATGTTAAATAGCAAGGTAGATTTACCTGTTCCATCCAGAATTAAATGACAAAATCATTCTCAATCATTTACAAGCATAGCACCCATTGTTTGGTGGCATGTTGCCATCTTATCATCCTATATGTCTGCCTCTCCCAGAAACTTTCTAACTGGTCTGTCTTGCATTTTCAGTACAGCACGTCGTGTGCCCCTCATCTGTGATAGCCAGGGGATTCTCCGGCCTATTCTTTTGTCAATACAGTGCTGATTTGTGGAACATCGGAATCAGTGTCTTCATACAAGATGGGCCCTTCCTTGTCGTGCGTCTCATACTGATGATCTATTTTAAAGTGATAAACCAGATGCTGGTGTTCTTTGCTGTGAAGAATTTCCTCGTGGTGGTGTTACAACTCTACCGCCTGGTGGTCCTGGCTTTGGGAGTCCGGGCTTCCTTGCGAAACCAGTCAAAAGGCCAAAAAGGAGAGGACAACTGCTCAGGTCAACCTGCTAAGAGGGGTCTCTTACCAAGGGGCAGGGAGAGCAATTCTAAGGAGGGCTTGGCTATCGCTTTGCAGGCCTCATCAGTCACCTCCGACGACTGCCCCACAACTCTGTAGTTATTTATTCATGGTGGCAAGCACGCTGACTTTCTGGTCCATCTTACAGACAGGATCTCCCTCTTTTAAAAACAACAACAACAATAAAAAAACTTGGCATATAATAATTTTCAAAAGAATCACATACAAAAAGTGTTCTTAAACCAAGGCCGAAGAATTTTCTTTTTTCAACTGAATGGGAGGAACTTTGATTAGTGCCCATCACTGCAACTTCAATGTGATGGTATGTGATGTTTTAGTTGTTCAACGACTAAGTGCTTTGTTTGTCTTGAACTGTTTGAAAAGCGATGAACAAGGTTATAGCGACATGCCCTCAAAAGAGCTAATGCAGACAAACAGTGGATGTTACCTTAAAGTACAGAAACTTTGAACTTTGGCTACATTGTCAGACTATCTCATGTGATCTTTTCTGCAATGTCCTCTGACATCAAAAATGTACATTCAATGAATGCAGAACAAATGAAGGGAAAAGTGCCTTTAAAATATCCTCAGTGTGGGCTGGAAGCAGTGAAAACCTCTGCCCAGCCTCCATATTATAGAGATCCCTATTCATCGCTGCACAAGCCCTCCCAGGAAAATCATTGTTCCTGGTTTATGTGGTATTCTATCATGGTGCATATGCTGTTAGAGAAATTTTATTGCTTTTGGCTTGGGCACTACAGAATTCACAGCAAGCCATTTCAGTTACACATCTAATGTTGTAAGGCAGGAAATACTGGTAAAATACAAGCAAAGTCATAATTTCCATTCTGAACATGATATGTAGTATTAGTCAGAATTTTGCTTACCCCACTTTGCCATTTTCAATATTGCTGGGTTGGATTACATGGGTTGACGGCGAGAATCTCTGAAGCAATGAATGGGAGTGTTTAGGCCCTGTAAGGTTGCCACAGTGTTTTAAAGTTACCATGTAAGGAGCATAGCTATAGCTCCTCTGAGATCCCTTTGTTGGAGATGGCTGTTGGTCCCAGGAAACACATTGATGCCAAAGGATCGCATCAGCCCTAACCATGGCCAATTGCCCTTGATTAGTTTTTTTGGGGTCAAAATATGCTTCAATATTGTGGAAATCAATAATTTACTTCTGTTTTCTGTATTGAACTAGCCATGCTACCCCTCTGTACTTAGATGTATACACCTCTGTACTTAGATGGAGGTGATTCAGTACATTTTAAAAGTGATTTTTGCTTGTAAAGCAGCAATTATATGAGATTAACAGTTGCCAAACTGTTCTTCTGGGGTTCAGGGATAATTCCTTCTATGTTATTATGTTCAGAAATGCAAAGAAGATATTAAAAATATGGCAGGAGATGGCCTTAAATGGGGGTAGCATGTTGATAACCAGTTGGGACAATTTTATTTATCTCTGTGTGACCTGATATCTATTTAAAATATTACATGAAATTTTCATAGACAAATTCTGTTTTTATATGGATACATGAACATATTCCAACAAATGGTTTCTTCAGTGCCTGTAATCATATTCTTTTCTTCCTTGTTTTTCTAATTTAAACAATATCAAGATTGTAAAAAATGTACATGAAACAAATAGAATACATTTTTAATTTTCCATAATAATTTTGTGAATGTTAAAGTTAGAAAATTAAAGAACTTGACAACTTTTGAGGCATGTTATTTAAAATGCTTAGCATTGAAAGCATAATGATAACAGCTATTTATAGAAATGCCTCAGCAGAATCTGTTTTCATGTCGACTACTTGATGCTGAATGGTTTCTTCCACAACATGTATGTGGTGCTTATTATCGTGGATTTGCTCATGGTTTACTTTCATGTTTTAATTTTTTTTTTCTTTCAGTAAAACAAACATTGAACTTCTAAAAATAGATAAAGTAGTACGGCTGTTGCAAGGATATTTTTAAATGCTTCCAAATCTGAGACTTGGCTTGGCTTCGTGAATGAGTTTCTAGTGTTTAAGTGAAGTATTTTGTAATTAGCACTCCTCTGAAGGCCTGGGAAACAGAAAGCCTGTCCAGGGACTAACTTCACTTAGAATGCCAGGAAGTCAAGAAGTGGCCAGGACCATCTTGGCAATTAATGGTGGCAAAAATAGACACATGTTCTGAAGATTTTCCAGGAAAATCTGCTAAGGACAGCATTTGTTAACCAAACTGCCAGTACTCCCACTTCCTTGGACTGGCTGTTTTTATAGTAGAAAAAATTTATATTCGTTCAGTGATTTTAAAAAGTCCTAAATCCAGGTTATATCCACCAGAGTCCTGATGGAAACTTAAAATTTTATTTAGTTTTGTTTATTCAGTTTATGTTCTCATTGTAGAGTGCTAAACACTGCAATGCTAGAAAACATCCAAGGATGTGCTATATAGTGGCTAGAACATTAGTCATATCCAGTGTGTTGGCATCCTGTGGACTTGTTTACATTTTATTTATAGTGAGAAAATGATTCAGATCATCTGTGTAACGTGATGCAGGCCTTACGGCTTTACCACCCCACAGACCCATAACACAGCAATGCCCAACCACTGGACAAAGTGGCTCATTTGTAGTTGCTGGTGCTGTTGTTATAGTTATTGATGTTACTATTTAATTGCTTGTTCAAGCAAATTTCCTTCCTAGAAACACATCATTCCACTTGTGAGAAAACACAAGGTACATGTTTTAATGATGGTATGTATAAACACACCTAATAACCATCTTATTGGTTTCGTTGCTCTTACTGGATAAATCCCAAAGGACATGAATTGACACATAAATATCTCAGTCTTTGTAAAAAATTACAGATGATAACAATGCCCACATCACTTGCCTGCCTTCTTCCCTCCCTCCCTCCCTCCCTCCCTCCCTCTTTCTTCCTCCCTTCCTTCCTTCCTCCCTCCCTCTTCTTCCCTCCCTCCTTCCCTCTCTCCTTCTTCCTCCCTCCCTCCCTCCCTCCTTCTTCTTTCTTCCCTTCCTTCCTTCCTCCCTCCCTCTTCTTCCCTCCCTCCTTCCCTCTCTCCTTCTTCCTCCCTCCCTCCCTCCCTCTTTCTTCCTCCCTTCCTTCCTCCCTCTCTCCCTCTTCCTTCCTCCCTTCCTCTCACCCTCTTTCTTCCCTCCCTCCCTCCCTTCCTTGCTTCTTCTCTTCCTTCCTACTTAGGACAGAATGACTAATAGTTAAATATGTATGAAAGATGCCTTTATGAATAGAAAGTAGGAGACTGGGAAGCATTGTGAAATTTGCTCTTCAATTGCCCCACACCATCTGAACCTTTTTTGTGTTTGTACATAGAATATTCTATTCCATATAGCCCTTATTGGAATGATGCTATAGAAATCCCAAGGGTTGGTACCAGAAGAGAAAAACAATATAAAGCAAACCTCAACTTTTTGATAAATGATAATGGTTAGCTAGGGAGCTCTGGTGGTGTAGTGCCTAAGACACTTGACTGCTAACCAAACCCACCAGCCACTCCTCACAAGGAAGATTGGGCGATCTACCTCCATAGTGATACAGCCTTGGAAACCCAAGGAGGGGTTGCTATGAGTCGGAGATGACTCCATGGCACATAACAACAATGTTTAGCTGCCACAGGAATGCAACTGAATTTCGCTTTTTTGCCACTTTCTAAAAGGAGCTCTGGTAGTGTGATGCCTAAAACACTTGACTGCTAACCAGAATGCTGGCAGTTCATACCCACCAGCCACTGCTCAGAGGGAAAGTTGGGCAATCTACTTTGGTAGTGATACTTCCCAGAAACCCAAGTAGGGGTCATTGTGAGTCAAGTCCGACTCGATGACAAATAACAACAACAACAAATTATCAAATGGTAAGAGTAGTAAACTATCTTTGTACTTGATTATTCTGTTAATTTTTATTGGAATTAATAGCATAAGAAAATAAAAACATTTATTGACCAACAGCATTCTTTTCAGTCTTCCAAAGGAAAGAGCATTACACAGTTTTACCCACTGGCTTTGTTGTAGTTCTACTAACCGAAAGGAGCACCCCTGGCTTTCCAAGAAATATCAGGATTTACTACTGTAATATATATAATTGAATTGTTATTTAATACAAATGTTCTAAACCTTTGGCAGGCAAGTGTTACAGGTGAATGTGCTTTAGGATTTTCTACCAGGTTTCAGAGTTGAACATTGACTCATCCATTTTGGCATTTCACCTCAATGACTCTTAATCAACTCCCCGGTTAAGAGAAAAAGAACTCAAAAAGCCAAGTCTCTATGTACCTTCTCTCTGTTCCAATGCCAAGAAAATGAGATGTGGAACTACAGTGCAGAGCCTCAGAGATACATATGGAAAGCCTAACAAAATTGAGTTACACAAAGAAAAGACACTGTTCCATTTTTACAATTTCTGACTATTTTTTACTTGGTGGACACTCTGAGCTTCTCTTGAAACCCTCTGATTCTGCTTTAATCAGGCAGCTGGAGAATGTTTACAGCTTTGAGGCTTTAGATAATGTTCCATATGATGCTAGCAACTCTAAACAGTGTTTAAATAATCAAATGCTACAGACTTTGTTAAAAATGAGTCTCCATAATCTGGATCTTTCTTACAAGAATATTGTATAAGAATATTATCTCTGGATTATTTATATTTATACTATTTTCAAATGACTGGCCTTTGTATTTTATTAGATATGGATATATTAAATAGTTTGTGAACAAAGTTATCTTAATATCTATATTTTCGTGTCTTTGTCTTCTGTAATTCATTTCACTTTTAGTTTTTAGGCCTTTTTTTAAAAAAAAAAAAAAAAAACTAGATTATTAAAGAGACATTTCAAACTAGTGAGGAAAAGCTAAGCAATTTAACAAATGATGTTGGAAATTTTGCCATCCATGTGGAAAAAATAAGTTAGATTTCTATCTCATTCAATATATAGAAATTAAATCCAGATGATGATCTATACATAAAAATGAAAACCATAAAATATTAGAAGAAAATACAGAATGTGTCTTTAGCACTGAGAACATGAAACTCAGAAGCTATGAAAGAAAACACTTACAGATTTTCCTACACAAA